GATAAAAAAAAAAGGTTCCTTCATTTCCATAGAACACTTTGCCATCTGTTGCTTTTCCATATTCATGAACAATTTGTGGAGTATCTTTGTTTTGTGTGGTGTAGGGACTTTTTAGGGAAATGGTCCACACCAGCAGAATCACTGCATACTGGTGGATAACCAGCCTAATGATGAGGTTAGCCTTTTCCAGCTTCATGCCATCCAGAAGAGTTACCAATCGTCACCATCTGTCATGCTTGCTGGGACTAGTGGTTGTATGCAAAGGATCTGAAATGCACCACTTTAAGGAAAGATTGAGATGAACTTTGGTTTATATAGGTTTCCCAGAATGTGTAGTTCTGAAGTGTACCTTTGTATTATTCTTATAGCTTTTCAATTTGTATTAAGTTCTGTAACTGTTGGTTTTTACTAGATCGGGCAATTGAAATTGGTGCTCCTCCCTTGCTATGTGGCAAAGTATCCAGGGATATTAAACAAGAAGTGGACAAACTGTCGGGTAACCCTCGAGGGAGAAAACTGAGATGGCTTTCAGAATGTGTGTCAGTGAGTATGAAATGCTACGCATAATGTCCATAGATGATGTTTGTCATTGCTTTCCTCAGAAACTGAGAGAGTATGACTTTCCTAAGATCACCCAGTGGATTTCCATGCCTGAACAAGGATTCAAACCCTTGTCTCCCAGAGCTATAGGCCGTTACTGAAACCTCTACACCACACTAGCTCTCTGCTTATCTGTCCACTGTAACTCCTGACCATTTAACCCTCTTTTGCTTCCTTAACTCTTTCTTTGAAATCTTTGACATACATCCCGGCTCATGTTTTGGTATAAAACAAGTATTAAATACAACACAAGCAGGTTCTTTCCACCTTATCCCCATTTATTTGTCCTTATTTTGTTGTCCCTCTTGTGATTTTAAGTTCCCCGGTTCCTCTGAAAAGGGACATTTCACGGTAGTCAGAAATGGGTACATTCATGGTTTCGAAAATAGTAACAACATCAGTGTATATATAGGAGGATGCAAGAACAGTCCAGAATGGATTTTGTTAAAATTCTGGATTCAATATTAGCTCATTTACTTTTGAAATGACCTGCTTTTACTTTTTATCTGGTTGAAAAACAACTGTTTTTGGAAGTGTAATTCTAACACAAATTATTTTTCCAGCCCCCAGGAGGCAGTAAGAACTTGTGGGATCTAGTAGCTGTAATAAAAGGCCAAGATGATAGCATGCTTCCACAGAATTACTGCAAAGGAATTATGCACATGAAACATCTGATTAGATTTAGAATGGTAAGCTAAGC